TGCGATCCATTTGTATCAATCATGTCCATTGACCTGTCCGACAAATTTATTGGATGCCTTAAGCGAATGTCTTCTTCTAAGAGGAAAACCTGTATGAATTTGAGCGAGTTAGAACGCTTTGACATTCAAGTCTGTAAACAATACACTGTAAATTTTCACGAGACAAAAAGTAAAGTACCCAAGAAAAAAAAAAAAGAGAGCTATGAAGCAATACTATTTTAAAAATTACCTTGGATACAATACAAGTAGAGAGAGAAAAAAAAAAAAAAAAAAAAAAAAAAAAAAAAAAAGCCACGAAGCAATCGCCATACTCACTGTTATGTCATCATTAGCGGATTGGTTTTTGGGCTGCATGTGGATTCTTTACGCTCCCAGTATCAAAATGGACCTAATGTTGGGAAAGCCCAAAACGGTTTATGGAAACTTCCCCTTCTAATAATTAGACTATGGTTTCCTAAAGGTGTGATCATCTCATATCTTACGTGAACTCTATCCGTTCGGTTTGCTAATTTAAGTTTTTAATTTGAGTTGAAATATAATATTATGTAAGAATTTTTTACTGTAATAAAAAAGTTAGATGTGACTGTTTCTAAGAGCTTTTTATTATAATAAAACTCGAATTCTAAACTCGAATCAGCGAAAAAAATATGACCTATATATATCAACCAAACGAAAAGGTAATTACATAAATTGTCCTCTTTGAAAGGCTTGAGTATAAAAGTGTCTTCTATTATACAATACTACAAAAATATATACTCACTTATGCTTAATAAGAAATATTTTATACTTAATTTGTCCTTATAGTTTATTTTTTTTAGCATGTTCTCAATTTGGTATGTTTTCATATTAATATTTAGATATTTTCTCTGATCATATAATGGATTTGACTTTCATTTTTTTCCTCATTTAATACTCTGTCATCAATTTAAATGATTTATTATTGATATTGTTTTTTTTTTTTTTTTTTTTTTTTTTTTTTTTTTTTTTTTTTGCTGATCTATTGATATGGGGTTTTAAATTAGGGTTTTCCCCCCCATGCTTTAAAAAAAAAAAAAAAAAAAAATTTATGTCAGGCTAGCAAGTAGCAATACGTTTTGCAGCTTTGGATATTTGCTTTGAGGGCTTGTCGTTTTGGAGCTTTGGTTATTTGTTTTGCGGGCTTGTCACTGCTGTCCTTGGGTACTAGCGAGGAGAAAAAAAGGTGCTTCCGTCCGGCGTATTTCTTAGTGCTGGTGGCTCTTTGTTGTCTTTTTTTTTTTTTTTTTTTTTTTTTTTTGTTTGTGTTAAGGGGGGGGTTTTTTTTTTTTTTTATTGTTTGTGTTAAGGGGGGGGTTTTTTTTTTTTTTTATTGTTTGTGTTAAGGGGGGTGTATTATATCTTGTTTGCTTTAATGTTTATATTATGTCGTTCATGTCTTGTTTTATCATTTCTTTTTTTTTTTTTTTATTGTTTGTGTTAAGGGGGGTGTATTATATCTTGTTTGCTTTAATGTTTATATTATGTCGTTCATGTCTTGTTTTATCATTTCTTTTTTTTTTTTTTTATTGTTTGTGTTAAGGGGGGTGTATTATATCTTGTTTGCTTTAATGTTTATATTATGTCGTTCATGTCTTGTTTTTTCATTTCTTTTTTTTTTTTCGATTTTATTGTTACACGTTCAGTTTCATTGTTGTAATGTTATTATCTTTACAACAATGAAAATAAATTTATTCCTCTTTGTAATTACATTATTATTTTTATTATGTGTTGACGGTAAAAACTTATCAACAAATTAGTAATAGGTTTTCAATGATTTGCGCTCGGACTAACTAAACTCTAAACGTGAATTATCGGAGGAAAAGAAACAAAATCAACACACGGGATTTATAGTAGTTTACTCCAACATAGAGCTACATCCACTGAGTTTTTCATTATTCTTGATAGAGAAAATACAAATTCTGGAGAAAAAGTGTTTAATAATCCGACCTCATTTCAACCCATTCTTTCTACTTATATACATCATGTCGTATCTGTCAGTTATTAATCATCTAATCAAATCCTGTGATATCTTCTTCCTACTCCGGAACAATAATCTTTGATCACTGAGATTTCAGCCAATTTGTCTGACTTTCTCCACCGGCCTCACCACCTACTCTGCATGCATTTAATGCACGTCAAATCCTAGCATAGCCGTACTTCAACCTGGACGTGGGTGCGTTCGTCGCCTTTGACTCCTTGGAAGCGCTCTTCGTTCATGACCAGTAGAGCGTTCGTCTTCACGGTGTGGCTCTTGTTTCTTCTAGTTTTAAACAAGGATACTTGACCGTTAAGAGTCGACGTTCATCCAATGCGCTCTACCACCACTCTGTGTCTTTGTCTTAGCTATTTTATCCGTAAATCATACCACGTGGCACCTGATCATTGCTTCGTGTGGGGCTTAAGATTTTACCCCAAAACATTATGTATATAAATTTTATATTCTTTTTCATAATTATTTTCACTTTACAGTTTGTGTATATTATTTTATTCATTGTGGTTCATTATGTAATTATCATTTAAATAATGAATATTTAGATTAATGAAATTGAGTTTTATTTTATTCCTTTCAAATAGGATAATATATATTTCAAAATAATGAAAATTTGTTGATTACGTTTTTTATTTTTTAATAATTACAGGTTCTGTTTGGTAATAATTTTAATAGTATATTAATGAAATTGAAAGGATTTTTGGTACATTAATTTTTTTTTTCATTATTTACTTTTCACGATAATTCTGATAATGATATTTAATTTATCATTTTGTTAGTTTTTTTTTTTCTTTTCAATCTAGAATTTATTAAACGGGATGTACTCTTAGCGGATTTTTTAACTACCAATCTTGTAATCCAAATGAATTATGTATTGTTTACGGTAAAATTATCAATATGTTAATGAAATTTCTTTCTCGTGTATCTTCCGTATATTAATTATGATATTCATTACAGTAAATACTGTTACTTTTGCAGTTTTGTGTATTTTGGTGTAATGGACGGGCATCATTTCTATTGATGTTGTTACTCAATCCTTTTTGGACTATATTCTCATCTTGATCTAGATAATAACAACATAAATTTTCCCTTTTACTAAATATGGTATGTTTTATTAATTGTATTTTTCAGATTTCATTTTGTGACTTGATTTTTAAAGTTTACTATTTTGATGTTTCATTAATTTCATCCATTTTCATTACAGATGGATAATAAAGTCTTTTCATTTATAGTGGTAGACAGTTTTGTAAATAAATAGAATATTGGTAGATATTCTTAGACTCGGGGTACTTTAAGTGGATGTTTATGTATATAACCCCAACAAATCTTTCTTTGAAAAAGGAGAAGGGAAATAATCTAGTTTAGGGCTTTTTTATTTCGTATGTTCGAGTTGAAAATTTGAGTTACAAAATAAATTTATATAAGAGAAAATACTGTAATAAAAAATTTAAATTTAAATTTTAATGAGAAAAATATTGTAAAAAAAAGTTTAAGTTGTGATTCAAATTATGAAATAAACGGAACTTTAGTAATGAATAATAAAAATATTTAGAAAATTTAGAGCTCATATGCCAAATTGATCCGAATATTTGAAGGTTACACTCCAAACTTCACGCTTTATGAGTGAGGATTTTATGCTCCTCTGATCTAGAATCTCCCTTCTATTGTAAGAGGGTGAGAAGATTTTAAAACATTTTTCTCTTTCTTAAGGAATTTATTTTACATTGCGCAACAGTTAAGTTGATCAATAAGTAAAAAATAATACATAAATAATTATTTAAAATTCACTCGTTTTGTTAGTTTGAATTGAATCATAATTCAAGCTTTATTTACAGTGTTTTTTTTTTTTAAATTTACATTTTATACTATAATGTTTTTTTTACATAAATTTACTTTGCAATTCAAGAAAATGACCATAATTTCAACCATGATAAACTGAAGTTGACTAATTGAGAAATACGTCAACGTATACGACATCGCACAAGCTAGTGATTTAGACCGTGTATGATCCGCGGGTTGCTATTTTGAAAACGTGAGTACTTCACCAAGAAAATGAAGGAACAGCATCTCACAATCTAGAATGGATCTTTGATGAAGTGGATGACTGCAAATTCCTTATTGTTATATACCCTTTTGAAGGAAAAAAAATAAAAATAAAAATAAAAGAAACTAATACCGTGTTTAAAATTATTCTTATTTTTATTTTTTATGTTTTTTAAGACTGAAAAAATAAAAATAATTTTAAAACGATGTTTAGCATAATTAAAGACAAAAATAAAAATGAAAGTGTAAGCTTTTATTTTCTCCTCTCTCAAAAAAACAATTAATAAATTTTTTTATATTAAAAATAATATCTTTATAAAATTATTAAATGTATTTTAAAAATAATTTATATCTAAAATTAAAAATATTTTCATATAAAAAAATTATTTTAAAATTCAAACTAACGGATAGACTTCCCGAAAAGATATTATTGTTCTTTCAAAGAGAAAAAAAAAAGATAATATTGTCGGTCTAACACCAACCATAATAGTGAAACCAAAACGACAAATTCACAAACTTTGAGGAGGACCTTTCAAGTTATAACTACCCAAAACGACATTCCAGTCTTTTTTCAATATACGCGACATTTCAAGAAGAACTAGATTAACTAGCACCGCCATCCCATTTCTTCCCCGGTGGCTGGAGCTCCCTCTTTCCGAGTATTCTCAATAATTCAACGCTTTTTTTTTTCTTAAAAGAATAACAAAATTAAATCCCATCTTTCCTAGAAGAAAGGCAATAAAATACCTTAAACCGGAAGCAAAACACACAGCTCAAATTAACTAAATTTAGACAAAAGTTATTAATTTTTCCTTTGCAACAAAGAAATTTTAACTTCAACGATAACACAAAAAGATTGTCGTTTTCAGATAAAATGTGACTATAAATACAGTCTCATTTTGTAGTTCTTTCCTTTTTCCATGGAAGATTAGAGACGGAGGATTATTCAATGGCAAACTCTAACGAGCCAAATTCTCGTGACAGGTTCGAGGCCTTCTACGAGGAATGGCTCGCCGGCCAACAGGCCATACTCAATCAGCTTCTTCTCGTCGCGGCGGAGACCGCCGAGAAGGACAACGACTGCGAGCGGCGAAGATCGTTGATCGAGCAATCCCTGTCTCACTACCAGCGCTACTTCGAGGAGAGAAACGACATCGCCAGCGACGACGTGTTCGTCGTCTTCTCCTCTCCGTGGCTGAGTTCTTTAGAGCGGGCCTACCTCTGGATCGCCGGATACCGTCCGACGTTGATCCTCCGCCTGGTGGAGAGCGGCGTCGCCGACCTGTCGCCGGAGCAGGCGAGGAGGATGGATCGGCTGAAGGCGGAGGCGGTCCGATTGGAGCAGGAAGTGTCGGAGGCGATGGCGGCAGTGCAAGAGAGCGTAGCAGCGCGGCCACTTGTGGCATTAGTGAGCCGGATGGGGAGGGCGGTGGACGGGGAGGTATCGGCCATCGACGTGGCAATGGATAGGCTGAGGGCGGAAATGGTCGGGGTGCTGGAGAGCGCCGACGCGCTGCGGGGATCGACGATGAGGAGGGCGATAGAAGTGCTGAGTCCGGCGCAGGCCGTGAAGTTCCTGGTGGCGGCGGCGGAGTTTCAGCTTCGGATTAGAAGGTGGGGCCAGCAGAGGGACTCTAACAGAGAACCTGCTGTTTAACCGACTGCGCTTGAATTTGACGATTAATTAAACTTAAAAAATGGAGTATTACTCTTCATCATCAATAATTTTCCTTTTTTTTCCTTACGGTGTGGGAAGGTTATGACGTTTTGTGTGTCAAATTTTCTGGCTTAATTACAAAATTTGAAGTGTACTAGTGTTCTCCTAGACAAATTTGGGAAAAGAAAAGAAGATGACATGAATCATACATGCATGTAAAGAAAAATATTTGAGCTAGTACTTTGAGAACACCGCAATACAGAGTTAGATTTTATCTACATATCTTTATTGGAAGCCTTCAGATGTTTCCTCCAAAAGAAAAAAGAAAAAAGAAAAAAAGACCTTCAGGTGCTGTGGTGTAATCGTATTTACCACCCCTTGTCAAGGGAAAATTAAAATTGAACCGACATTCTTAGCGCTTGTAACATTAAGATTCAAATATGAGAAGAAAATGAGATAAATACCGTATGAGTACGGATTTTTAATCATCCTCTTTATTAATTAAAAAAAGAGAGAAATAGGGAAATAAGCTAAGACTTGAGATGAATTAAAATTAATAGGCCAATAGTTTACCTAAGTTAATAAATAGGCCAAATTACTGTTTTCGTCCATAACTTGTCTGGTTATGAACTATAACTTGACAAGTTATTGTCCATAATTGTCCATAACTTATTTGGTTATAAACCATAACTTGATAAGTTTATCCATAACTTATCTGGTTATGAACCATAACTTGACAAGTTATGGCCTATTAATTTCTATAACTAAAAATTGGCCTATATACTTTCTTAAGCTTTTCATATTAGCCTATTTTATACTATTTTCCTTAAAAAAATATTAATCAAGAGTAAAAATAAAAATCTAAACCAAGCAATCTAAAATTAAGCTCCGCAATTTTCTCTTTATTTTCTAGTTAGTAACCCACTTGTGAAAAAGTCCAATACCAAACTGGGTTTATTAATGGTTAACCATTGGGACGACATTATATGGACCAGTACACAACAGCCTGGGATTGTCCAAAGCTGCGAGGCCCAATGGAATTATCATGGACTTTGTTTTTCGTTGTGAGCCAGCCTGATCAAGATTCACATGGTCATGATGCGTAAAGGTCCAGACAGCTTGTTTTAAATAGAAGCCTTGTTATCACCTGGTAGCGTAGTTGGTTTGTAGTCAAAGGTTCAAGTGTTGATTGACCCACTTTCAGAATCATAAATGTGAAGTTTTGTTCATGTCAACCCAATTAGCACATTCTATTCTGAAAAAAAAAAAAAAAAAAAAAAAAAAAACCCCAATTAGCACGTTTAATGGGTTGAGATGAGGCATTCCTTTGTCGAGGAATAAAAATTACCGTTGAGCCTTCAATGAATATTTCTGTTAGCATCTAGGATACTCTCTTTAATAACGTTGAGGTGAATACTTGATACAAATATTGGTCGCCCTTTTCTAGAATTTTTTTAGCCAAAAAAAAAAAAAAAAGAGGAGAGAGAGAGAGAGAGTGGAATTTTATGTTTTTTGCTAGAACTTTTAAATAGAAGCTTAGTTTATAGGGGGAAAAAGGAGAGCAAAAATGATGCCAAACAAGAAAGTACAAGGAGAAAGCAGAGGAACCGTTCGAGTTACAACTCAAGTTTCTCTTACAAAAAAATTTAAAATCAACTTTTTTACTATAGTATTTTTCTCTAAGAACTCTCTAAACTAAAAAAGAAGACTCCTAATATTTTCCACAATCAATTCATCAACAGCTAATTGATAATTATATTTGATCGCACGAACTACATTAACATCAGTCTCAACACAATATACAACCAATCCTTTAGATCTGAAGAGAGATCCTCAGGAATAGCGATACACTACACAATGTGTGGTGAGAATCTTCCCGTAAAGTGAGTAGAAAAACATCCGAGAACTACACCATACTGAAAACCACGATTCATACATTTGATCAGTATTTTTCACTCATGTCCTAAAATGTGCTTCGTTATTAGCTATGCATTTAGAAAAGCAATATATATGTATATAGTTTTTGGAAAATCAACCACATAAAATCGCTTCAAGAGAAAGAAGCATATATTGAAAGTTATACACACCTTCAATCAACACAAACAAAAGCATAGTATAGCAAACAATCCGCAAAATCTTTTATGCACATAAATTAAAGTGAGCCCCACGTAACTGGTGTACTACTATAGTATACCTCTTCTTGATGATAAATAATAGGATGAGGGACAAAAATGATCTTGTAAAATTGTAAATATCGTGTAAAACTCTTAATTTGTAAACAAGACTATAAGTTCTAGACTAGTTATACCTAAATATGTTCTAGAATTCTAGTTTTGAACTTGGAATGTCGGGTCTCGACTCTACTTTTGGTGGAGGTAAATGTAAAATTAATACTGGATTATGCCTGCAATAAAAAAATAGTTTTAGAATTCTTATACGTACGTACATAAAAGATTATCCCTATATGAAGACCTAATAAGTACGTATATATAACGTATGCAAGAACGTGTTAGTTGTTAAACAATCCCAAAGTATCCAATCATATGATTAATTCAGTAAAATATTTTAATTGCCACAGATGCTTCTTTTTGCATAAAGTTTATTACGCTTCAATCGCGTCCGACTTGGCCTTCTCATCTTTAGGTGCTTTGTCTCATCCGGAAGCAGCCTATATATGCAAATGAAATGGTTTAGGCTTTAAACCATGAGGAAAAGTGGCTGCTGAATCGTAACTTTTCCTCAAAAAGAAAGTAAGTGATGCGTTCTTTCTTTTGTCTGGTCTGCCTCGTGAGATTTTAAAAAGGCAAATGACAATGCAACTCCCCCACGTCATCAAATTATTTTAAAGTTGGAATCTGAATTGCCACTTGACTCTGTTTCATACACCCTCTCTCAGGTTCTTGCTTAACAAAAACACACACAAACAAAATATACATTAGAAGATCCCATTTTAAGTACACTTGGCCAAAACTTTTTTTTTTTCTCTCCTCCAAAAATCACCGTTAAAAGTGCGGCTCTAAAATCCATGGATTAGATTTTATAGGAGGAATTGTTATTTTATCTTGCCGATAACAACTGTTATTTTTGTCTTTAGATTAGTTTTTCAATTGTAGTCTGATTCATTAATAGAAGTAATTATATGTCACGCGTTGTAAATTTTTAATATCGATAATCATAAAATTTAAAAATTAGTTCAGCAGTTAAAACTAACATTTCCCGCGTAAGAGTTCCATTTAATAAAAACCTTCTTTTGAACCAGTCACCTTAGAAATGCTTGGTCTAATCATAAACTGCATGAATGTCGTTTAATTGTATAATCGCCTCAAGAGCAGTCAATTAAATCATGGTTTAACACTGTGGCAGGAAAGTAGTGGAAAACTGCTTATCAAAGTAAAGGCTGAGTGTGAAAAGTCTAGTAGATGTCGGTCAAAGATCATAGGTTAAGTGGATTGGTATATATATGTGGGAACATGACCATATATCATGTAATTAAGAAGATCATAAGTGGTCAAGTAATGGGTTATGACACAGCCTGCACTTACAGGTAAAGACCTCTTTTTTAACTTTGTCCACACTCACTGTGCTGAAAAGTAGACATAGCGCAAAAGAATTCCGAACTCGTACAAAAAAGCCTTATTCAATATGATCAAGACAAGCCATGATATTTTCCACAACTTATTGTTAATCACCAGAGAGAGAGAGAGATTGCATAGGAAAAACAGCATCTAGTGAGAGGATTAATTGTGACCATTCTTGTCTCTCTTCCACTTGGAAAACTCAAATTATTGGTCTGAAACTCCATCTCTATCATCTTTGTTTTTAGTGTTTCCCAACAACTATCTTCATGGAGACCTTTCCGGACTACCCATCGACAGGGCATTTTTCATTCCGTTAAATTATTATACTTTATTAATTACGTTAGGATTATGATTTGATCTAACGGTTAAAACCATGTCGACCATGGTAAATTATTATACTAAATTTAATCAGACTATTTAAAACTATGTCCACCACCAAGGTATTTTTAATACCGTATTACAGACATGCGATGGAATTAAACAAGATGGACTGCTGGTGTCTATTTTAGCTGTCAAAGATGAGTTTTTATATCTATATATATCGATATACATGTATATGTATGGGCATTAATTGGGTATCAAACAAGTGCAAGAACTGGTGTATAGCAGTTAGTTGTTCAGTACGAGGCACCATTTATTTTCAGCTTCCAAGATGTTTCTATTTTTGCCTTGGATGGGGCTATGACATTAATTTCCTTTTTTCTTGTTTTGTTCATAAATCATAAGCATATGTACTTTACGTTAATTATATAACTTGCAAACTATTCGTTTATCCAGAGGCAAAAAATAAATAAATAAAAACTTGAAAAGTATTGCTATGATGTGATGTGGTGGTATATATCCTCGCTTATTATTATTATTATTTTTTTTGGATCCGCTTATACAATTTTTGAATGTTGATCCTTAGCTGATCTAGAAAGTTAAGAAAGTTAAGAAGCGGAACTAAAATGTAAATTTTTGTGTCTTATCTCTTCTTCATACGTTGCAGATGGATTAATTAAGTGGGAGAGATTTATTACTTTGTGATTATATATATACGTTCACACATATATACTTTATTTGTTTAGCACAAACAAGATTCTAATTCTCAGGAGGAAAAAAGAGAAAAAGAAGAAGAAAGATTCCATCTATGAACTATGAATTAATAAGTGGCGAATTCAATACATGATTAATGAAGGGTTTGAACCCGTGGTGGAAAGACCATAACATAATTATATATTTTGGATCAAATTTAAGATATAAATGAATAATTATATTTAATTTTTTTATTATAATAAAAAATTTTCACATAAAATTTTATCTTAATTTAAATTAACAAATTAAGCCAGAAAGCATGTACTCTCTATCGCCACAATTGAACTTTTGTCTTTGACTCGTATTTTGGACATCATCTGGAAGGTCTGGTCCACTGGCGAAGAAAAT